CTCATTAACAAATATAGAATTACATACAATTTGTAACCGTAAATTTCCTTTGAGGGAAAAGGAACAAAAACTGTTATCATACGTTTACTTACGAAGATAAACAAATCTGTTTATTTCCTCGCCTGCGTGCACACAACGAGATAGACGTTTGACTCCTATTAGTTTATGATTAATATTACTCTTCTGTAAATTTCCACTTACTACTGGATGCATACGCTTGGGGTTAAACAAACACATCGTTAATTAGAGAAAGGAATTTCCGGTTAGATATTTACCTGAGAGTCTAGTTTATCCACTTTTACTAACTTAATCTGCATATTTGTTAATTTCAGTATTTTATTGTTTTTTGTTTTACTTCATCGTCTCTCTATAAAATTGAATAATTTGATAACGTAAAAAGGCAGAAAGATATTGAATATATCATAATTGTACAAATTGCAAAATTGGAATTATTATTCAAAGATAAAAACTTTTTGTTTGCTTCAAATAGAAAAATATTAGTTATATTTACAAATAAAAATTCGACAACTTTGAAAGTATTCTTGAATTTTTCATGTCAATGCTAACAAAAATATATGAATTCTACAATATTTGTGAATCGACAAAACTGTAATAATTGCAACAGTTTAAGCTTGAGATCAGAGGTGACCCGATTTTCTGGATTTTCCTAAGCCAAGGTCAAGATCAAGAACACAATTAATCAAATTAACTAATGCTGGATGATTCATGCTTGCAAATACAAAGTATGTACATGTTATCATTCATAGTCTCAAAATTAGTATTCATTAAATGCAATGAGTTTACAATATCAATGGAAGAAAATAGATCAACAACAAAAAAACTATTTTGTGATATAATAACAAAATAACAATTTGAATAAATCATAAACTATCTATTTACTAAACAGTAGAAATGTCAGTAATTTCTACTGGATTTAAGCAAAATATTTATTAAAAACAAGTTTTGTTTATTTATACTTATAAATAAACACTTCAACCTTATTTTAATAGAAGGCAAAATACTTTGCCAAATACTGGTTGCTGTATACTTTTTGTCATTTATTTTTTTTTATAAACAAAAGTTTTCAAGGATGCAGCTGATTCGTATTAAATAAAACGTGCTTAAAGTTATTTGGTTTCAGTTAAGTATTCACAAAACACGTCAATAATTCAAACGAGTTATTTTTTTCCCCAAGTTTATATCTCAATAAATGTCCAAGGAATCAATGATTAATTAAATACTATTATAGTAATGTATACAACCAGATATACTTTCAAAAACAAATTGATAATTCCTTCATTAAAATGATTCATGACATCATTATCCTTGACCTTGATAATAACATTTGTAATCACCTATTTTAACGTAAATGTTATATAAATGTTTAATTTAACATATTTTCGTAATTCTTTGCAAACTATATACACGTTCACACTTAGTCCACATTCTGTAGTTATATTCTAAATAAATGTTTAATTTTTTTTATCTAATGACATATGTTTTCTATTTTTAAACGAAACTCCTATAACGTGGCTCAGATTACGAATAATTAATTTATATTTTTTGCTATTGATTCAAAATTCAATGCAATAAATTTGGACATATAAATTGAATTATCTGAAATGATGTTGTTGCAGCAAGAAATGAGAGCAGATAAAAATATTATTGATTATAAACGTTCTCTTGTTCTATTGTTAAACAGATTATTTTATGGAAAAGATAAAGGTAATAATAGTAAAGTTTTGTTGGTGTAATTAACGCTTGTATAATCTAAGGCAATAAAATTTACCACCTATAGATACAAATTATCATTTACGTAATAATCACGTTAAGTACAAATGTTGCAACAGAAATAATAAGCAAATATTACTTACTTTGGAGTCAAAATTAGCAAGCAGTCCGTTAATATCATCTGCTCTCCAACCCAATTCGAATGCTACTAAACCGATTTGAACTCCATATGTTTTTCGCGTATCAGTTAATATTTTTTTTTCTGCGCTATTTGTATCTGATAACAATTTTCGATATTTATGTATTTTACTCATGAACAACAGCAATTTATTTTACCTGCATTATCTCAACAAGAATTTCTCTTGTTAAATCCAATTTATCTATTTTTTTAATTATACAATAATAAATAATAAACAAATATAGTTTTATACACTTTAATATGAAATCTAAACTATTTAATTACACTAAAAGAATATTATACTTCATCTGCGTTAGATTAAATAAAAATAAAGTTTTTTTTTTCTGTAATTTCTTGAATCTTCTATAGTTTTTCCAGTAAGATTGATAGTTTGTTTTTTTTTATATAGAAATCCGGTATTCTCTCGTTTCGTTTCAACTAGGAAGAAGGCCCTGAAACTAATTGTAATAATGACATTTTTTTAATATTAACAATACGCTTTTGTTCTTTAAAGATGTGTTATATCTTATTTAAAGTAATTTGTATGAAACAAATTAAGTGAGATCAATCCTTGTAATTCTAATTGAATTGTATTAAACAATTTAGTTATTATTTAAAATTAAGATTTTAATAATCTTATATTTAAAATAAAGGCTTTTGTAATGTGCAGCGCAAAACTAGAACAAAAATTAAAGAAATAAATAAAATCCTAAATTCACATTCCACAAATAAAGGCATGCATATTAAAGCAGTATTATTAAAATAAAGTATTACGCTCTGAATAACATTCAGCGGCGTCGATTCATTCATGTTAAATAATTTCTGGTGTCGTTCGAACTTTCTGCAAAGAATCAAAAACCTGGTTACGACCCTGTCCATCGTGTGACATCATAAACAAAACTGTTATGTTATAGTCAAAATTGTAATTAACAAACAGTTATATAATGGTGTTATTAAAGTGATCTGTTGTGCGTGCAGCTGTGTAATTAAATTAATTATTAAACAGGGTTTGTTGTAAAGTTGAATTTGTATGTTAGTTTATATTCTACAGAGACGAGCGATGTAAGGAAGCGATGATGTTTACTTACACATTATTCGAGGAGCTTAGAATGTGAACTAACCATGACATTCGCCGTTTGTCGGGATGTAGACAGAATGGAGCCAGTCAGTAGTACAGGTTTGCCAATGGTTGTTTTTCCTTTGACCCACTTATTCGGAAAAGCCTTTCCTCGGAGCATTCGTTAAACCACCCTTAATATTATTAGTCAATAAATTGTATTCATACTTTTCCATGTTGAAACCAATCTAATATTATTTACATTTTAAATAATATACATTAATATTGATGTTAATATTATGTTACAATGTATTAAATTAATAAAAAAAGAACTTACATTTTCTTAACGTATAAATTACAAGGACGACAAGGCTCTAATCGATTAGTCTCAGTCTAGGAATATTTTAATATTGATCAATGTAATTTCAGTATTTTAGCTTAAAAATCATATTACATTTATGAAAATTATAACTACAACTACAATAATTTAATAACAAATTTATTTATTTATTATATTACTTAAATGATTGTACTAATTTTTTTAAATTATCCATATACAAGTGGCGTATTTTTATAAATTTATAAGAATTGTAGAACAAAACTATACATATATCAAATCATAAGCGGCGCTAATACTAAATCTATTTCCTTATGTAAAAATGAGGTCGTGGTATAATCTTATATCAAAGGGAAGAAGTAGAACTGAAGACCTTAACAATTTTTCGAATCTTAAAATAGTAAATTTACAATTGAAAACTCTTCTTGCACTTTATATGAGACATACTTTTTTTGCAACTAGTTTTTGAAAATCCTCAACAACAACAAAAAACGATTCTCATTCATTTTATGTTCATAATAGAAAAATGAATTAATTGATGTCCTGTTTGAATACTATTATTTTTAGTATTACTAAACGAGCCACGTTTCGCAAAACGAGTGACGACGAGAAGAGACACATATGTGCATTTTTTTGAATATGCAAACGAATGAAAATCTGGAAATTTTGGAACGTATTAAACTCGTTAAGCGAGGTTCCACTGTATTCTGTTTTATCGACGTTCAAGGATTGCCATGATCTGTCAAACTGCTAATTCTGCAAAATATAATCAACTATTTTCTGATCCTCATCGCGTGTTTGTATTTTCTCCTGTAACAGTCATGGACAAGTTATTCTTAACAGTTTCGATCAGCTGTCTTTCAAATCTAACGTTGTGGTGCTTAGGCAAACCTAGTAACGATATCGCAATAAAAACGGTTGCACACTAACAACATTGTTTAATGAACCGAATCTTGATATCAGAGCATTATAAGCCTTGACTCGACTTGTCTTACCTTTGTATCAGGGGATATCTCAATGTTCTAGACATTTCGTTTTAATCACAAACTGTTGGTATAGAAAATGTAACGCTGGAGAGAGAAGAATTTTCGTTTGAATTTGGAACAAAAGTTTGATGTTATAGTGAAAAACAGAAATTAATCACTATTATATATAAATTTGTTCTATCAAGGTTTTTCAAGTAAATTTAGTAGCTTTTGAGCAATCCATGCTAATAGATGCCAAGATAACATTAGTCAATAGGACCTTGTCTTAAAATTAAATATATATATTAAAAAATCGGTGTAGCAATTAAAATAAAAACGTTGTTAAGGCCATAAACATATATTTATATTATTAAATAAATCACATATCAATATTACAAAAGTTCACTACATCTCAGAGATTCTTGAAGTACTAAATAACAAGCCTTCCAAGTTGTAAACATCTTATCACATCTTCCTTATATCAATTACTCATAACTCGAACACTTTCGTAGCAAAAGCCATCTCAACCACTAAATTTGTAAATAACGAAACGTCTCACTTTTCGATTTTTTTTTTCAAACAAAATTAATGTAAATATCAAAACTTGTATATATTTAAATATACCTCATTATGCATACTATAAACAAAATATATATTATATATATACTATAAATTATGTGTGTGTGTGTGTATATATATATAATGTCAAATACTAAAACATATTTGTCTTGTGTAATATTTAAACTGGAATGGTTTAACAAATAAATAGTTCCATAGAAGTAATAAATATCAGTCACACGAATTAAACACACTAAATAAGTTTACCAAAGATACATTGTTGAGTATATTATCAAGGTAACTGATTTTGTTTTAGTATAAAAAGATATTTCAGACGTCGCCATCAGCCAGCCGAATGATTCGGCCTGTTCATAGTTATATTATTTGCATTAAACATATTCGAGTATTCCGTCCTAAAATACAAGAACAGACATGTTATATATTGGAACGCTCTTGTCTATAGGGGAAATACCTTAGGTTTGCAGGCAAGATCGACATATCTAATTTGTATTTTTGCGTTACGATGAGCGCCAATGTTTTCAAAGTCGGTTTAAAATCTAAAACATACATATCGCTGTGATCGTTCAACTTGCGATCGCTGTCATATAAGTAATCATTCCTCGTGTTTTCTTCGGTGCCGTCGATAGGACTGAAAATATATTGTTGTTAATAACATAACACAATTGCTAGAGCCATCAATCCTTACCTTGTTCCACCAAATAAGAAGACTCGATCGTCTACTGCGATGCAGGCTTGTCGTCTTCGTCGACATGGTGGAGAATAATTTGGTGACAATGCTGTCCATTCGTTAGTTTTCGGATCGTAGACATACGTATCGTTAAAATGATGACCAAGCACAGCGTTGTATCCACCGAAAATGTACATTTTTTCGTTATAAACAACTGAAAATGTATATAAACAATAAGATTTCTAGCGTTATTCAATAAATTGAGCATGCTTACAAGCTGAATGGCTTCGTCTTCCTATGGGAATATCACCTGTTGCTTTTGTGTTGTACCACTTATTTTCGTGCAAATCCAAGTACCACAGATTCGAAGAGTACCTCTCATCTCGTGGTAAGTATATGCCATTCGTGGCTACCGAACCTCTGCCTCCAAAAACATACATACGATCACCAATGCACACAGCGGTGTGGAAATCTCGTAAACTTGGTTCTTCGCCTGCAACATAAATAAATTACAATATACAACTAAATACACAGTGTTGTACTACTATACCTGAGGTGATTATATGTGACCAGTGTTTTGTATCCAAATTTAGTATGTACATGCTTTTAGCAAACGCCAAACAATCTTCTTCGTATCCGCCGAATACAATCATTTTATTTCGCCAGACGCAGGCGGTGTGCCCGTCGCGGGCAAAAGGTATATCTCCGGTGCAGGTCGGAGCCGTCCAGCAATGCCAAACGGTATCGAAGCAGAATAAAACTGCACAGCAGGTCCTGTCGTTCTTTCCTCCCCAAATATAAATATTATCTCCGTAGCTGACTGCAGTGTGTCCGTACCTCTTGAAGGGAAGTATATCGTCGTTTTCAAAATACGGCAGCTCGCTGACCGGATGCTTTGTCCATCGGAATGTCTTTGTATTCAATACGTGGACATCCATCGATACGTATTCACGTAAACTTTCGCCAGAACAGTAACCGCCAAATGTGTAGATTTTGCTGCCCATGGACACAGCTGCATGATTTACCCGTTTCGGGCCGCCTTCGATACTTGTTATCCAATGCATTTTGAGAATCTTTAACAAATGTAATATTAATTTCACTTTAATTTCAAAACAAAACCTATTGTCAGCAATTAGTTATTTACTTTTAAAATAATTACATATTAATTAGATAAATCTACTAGATAGCCCACAACAACAGTCCATATTCGTCTCTTTTATACATGTTGTTGTTTAAATAACATAGTTTTATTTCTAATTATATATCGCATTACTGGTAGCTAGTAGTGTGAAATATGTTATTATATTCAAGAAAATGATCATGCAAACTATATTTAATTGTACACCTCGACAATATTTAGAGAAGTGTTTTTAGATTTGTGTATAAATAAAACAATTATATAATTATTGTAAATCGAATAACTGGAATAATTGTGGAGAAAGATGATTGTGTACAAAACAAGATCCAGTGGTCCTGAATCGAGTGTGCAAGTTCAACAATTTAAAGGTTATAAACAAAGGGCATTTCAAGCTCACCTGTCCCGAATTCTTCCAATCACTTTGCAACAAATGCCAGATAGATCAAATTCACATGTGGTGCATTCCTTTTTAAACTATCTCGAACCACTACCAAACGATTAATACTATTTTTAAGCCAACCTTGGACGCAATACACATCACATACAACACTCGCAATTATACATTTGACAGAAGCAAATGTGCCAGACAGAGAACTGCAGGAAACAACATATGCAACCAACCAACCAACAACAACTAAACAAAAATATTGAAAAACCAGGGCGGCCAACATTAAAAAATGTTTTCAAAATATTTACCGAAATCTGAGACAATCGACTATCGTTTCGCGAAAACAAATACCGTCAATATGGAGCGTCTAAAGTGTTTAAACAGTTTCGCATGTTAATAAATAATCCTTTACTGTTTGCATTTGGTTCGTCGAGCTCGGGTGTTTTTCCATTAAAAACTATATATACACGTCGGGACATAAACGAAAACTTCCCAATTTGAATGCATCTATTGTCAATTCAATTAAGTTGAAAATGTGCGTGAATAATTTTAATATGAATGTTATCGATGAAGTTATCAAAGCTTCTGAGGAGCTCTTCTTGGAAGACGATGTTGAGAACGGAGTTCTCGAGCAATTAAAAGATCTTTGGATAACTAAATTGAAGAACGCAAATGATGAAGGACACTCTGCAAACGGAACGGATATCATTGTTAAGAGTGGTATTGTAATTCTTTATATTAATTGCGAAGAAATGGTTTAAAAACATATTTATATAATATAAATTGGATGACTTTTGCATGTACGAATTGCATAGATATGTTCATATGTGTCCCATGATACAATCAACTCAATCACATTCTACAATTGTTCATTTCCGCTTTAGATTTTTGTTTATAACTTATTACAAAGATGTCCACAGATAACTAAGCATGTTTTACGCGTAACCAACAGCATTTAAAAGATTTTTTTTATCTATCAGGTAAATTCTAAAACTTATAAAACACAAATAAATATAAATGTTTATACATTTTGTATACAGTAGCGGATAAATCAAGGGGGCTTCATAGTAAGCTTTTATTTTTAAGTAATTCGGATAAATTTGATGGCACCAGCTAAAGTTTTGTTCAAGGCCCACCTTGATTTGGAATAGAGAAAATCATAGAGCCAAAAATTGATTCTCAAAGAACCACATTAAGATAACTCGTGGGCCCTAAACGAAAGTTAGTTTCACTATTTGAGGGCCCTAAACAATTTATTGTATGTTCGAAATGCCGTATTAAAAATTAGTCAATCTATGATTAGTTTGGATAATATTTGTATAATAAATTACCTCAACCAAACACACACGGCCCACTTTCCCGCCAACTACAAAAAAAATTGATACTTTTTGAAACTAACAATTGTAATTAATAATTTTCAGTTTTAAGCCAACTAGATGGAAATGAGACTGATTCAGATGATTCCAATGCATCTTCCTCTTCGTCCAACGAAATGTCCGTCGCCGAAGAAGAAGAAGCTGAACAACTAGATGACACTGAAGAGAGCCTCAACAGCGACGATGACCTATCTGAAGAAAACCTCGAAGACACTGACAATGTTGTAATTTGTCAGTACAATAAAATTACCAGGAACCGTAGCAGATGGACTCTTGAATTGAAAAACGGAGTCATGACTCTCGACAATAAAGAATTTATTTTTAATCAAGCTAGAGGCTATACCACTTGGTAATTATGCTCTGTTACAAATGTATGTTTAATATTTATTTAACTAAAGTTACGTTACTAGTTTAATCTGTTATATTTTGCATGTATTTTTATGTAATGTAATAAATAACTTTGCAATATATTTTTAAATTTCATATATAGGCAACCTTATGTACGTGATCTGTTGTGAAAGTTGAAGCAAGACAACGGCCAGCTGATTCTGCCATTATTATTTCGTACTTCCATCAAAACACGCCGTAGTGCTTTGTTGTTTCATAATATTTATTTTCAATTTTTGGCTTCGAATATAGAAAATTGTATAGTAGTTGAAATTGTACATAAAATGGATATTAAGGTAAAAACTAACTTATATTTCTTGTAATAATGATCATATTGTGTAGATAGTATATGTAATTAGAGGGTTTTTATCATTTGCGTTTAAATTAATTATACATTTATGTATAACATTTGACTGCTATGAATTCTAACCTTGATTGGCCTTGCAATTAATTAGAGATCAATGTCTTCAATTTTTAAATCAAGGATTATCCAAATCATATAGCTAGATCTGATAAGTATTGTTTATTAAAGTTTCTATAAATATTCATAGTTACAACATACTTTCCATGACTTGCTTCTAAGTACACTGTTGAAATCTAGCTGAAGTAGTAGTAGTAGTAGTCTGTTAACTCTCGAACTTCATACTGATGACTAGAAAGTTTGAGTCATGTCTAGACTGAGGTATCAATGATTGAGCTATTGAAATTTGGATTCACATGATAACGTAATCAAAGATAATCATTTGTTATCAAATTATTATTAGAGTACAATTATTAGCAGTCATTGTGGTATAAGAGTTTTTCACGAAATGTTGTTCATACTGACTGGTTTATTGGTAGTATTCATTAAGTATTACAACTCTAATCTAATTTTGTTATTTTTATTTTAGGGAATAATTTATGCTATTCTATGTGGAACATACGATAGTGTAAGGGGTATGACTGCCCTGTTTCATGTCGACAGAGAACTGAATAAACGAAAAAAACAGTCTTCTCCCAACACAACTATCCGAAGAAGAGAATCCGATATAAGCAGGGAAAGCACACCAACCAAAATCTCAAAACAAGAGGAGTATGTGAATTGTAATAGTCCATCATGCAGGATTTTTAATTTATTTTTAATTTTTTTTTAGTGAGCCAGCACTTATGACTTTAATTTTGAAATTAAGTGTGTTCAATGGAGGCATATTTCTGATGAGCGTATTATTATTTGAATTTCTCATATTACCACTTATTAATATCATGATAGTCTCCACTTTTGGAGAAGATATAATGATGAGTAATAAGTATTGGGAACTTACTAAAACACTGTTGACTATTTTTTATCAGACAACATGGGTGTTGCCACTTCTACTGCTAAGCAAAATAGTCAATTGTTTGTGGTTCCAGGTAAATATATCTGCATTGCTGCTATACAAGTATTTAATACATTACGATTTTTAGGATATTGCGGATAAGGCTTACAAATACAGTCGTGGAAGACCGCTAATCAATCAGAGTATTAGTAGAATTGTGGCAGATTCGATTTTCAGCATTCTAGTGCAAGTGCTATTCCTGCTGCAAGCTACAATCGTTGAACTAATTCCGTTGTACATAGTTGGGAAGATATTAGGATTAGTTCACATGTGCTTATTGTATTCACTGTACACTTTTGAATATAAATGGTTCAATATGGGATGGGAGTTGCACAGAAGATTATCATTCATTGAAACCAACTGGCCATATTTTATTGGTTTCGGACTACCTCTTGCCTTCGTAACGCAGATGTCGAGTTCTTGGGTTATAAAGTAATTGAAGAAAGAAAAAATTTAAACATATTTATTAATTATTACTTTATCTTTTAGTGGATGCATCTTTGCCTTACTGTTCCCTTGGTTCATTGTGAGCGGGAACGAAGCAAATCCTGTGACTAATTCCAGGTAAGAACAAATACTAAATATCAATTTGATTTGAAAATTCATTATTTTCGATTCTCGTTACAGCCAATATCCACTACACTTATTTTCACCCGTGATAGCGCTCAGTAATGCCTTGTTCAATAAAACAATTGGAACTCGCTTTCAGAAACGAAAGGTAAATAATACTCCGACTCATGTCAGGAGATGATCTTCGTTTACGTCCATTGTGCAAATACACTTTGTGTTCTCTTTAATAATTCTGATGGCTGTTTATTTCAATTTGGAGTTTCTTTAGATTAATTCTAATTATGAATATTCAGTAAAGCAATCTCGTCTTTGAAAAAAAAAACTATTACTTTTGTAAACTACATTCTTTCAATACATTTATGTTCACAGAAATAACAAAATAAGTTATGTCTCTGTTATGATTAATTTAATTTAAATTTTAGTGCAGTCTAATGCAGTGACTTAAGGTACCTATAATTTATTTATTTTTTATTGATGTTTTTACGGCAGCTGTATATATATACCTATATTATACAAATGTGATTTTTTTAAACATATATATTTTTTATATAATGCAAATATATTATATATAAATGGTTTTGAATACTCTCTAGATGGAACATATTGATTAATAATATATAAATATTTTTTTGTTTGTTTTGGAATACATACATGTTTAATTATGGTGACTTATATATTGGTAATACCAGATTTTTCAATTTGTTCTAAAACTAGTTTTAAATTTGTATCAAATAGCTCGCATCGAATTGGCATTTCCAATGAATAAAATGGGTTCTTTAAAGCAAAATCAGCGTACAATTCGTATATTCTCTTCAACAATATATCCATTCCTGCCTGCATCCTCTCAGCCACCACCATCATCTTAACACCTGTTACAGTTTGAAAGCAGTGCAACTTGAATGTGTCAGCTTCGAGTACTTCTATGCCCGAGCATTTCGGCTCAGGACTCAGTTGACTAGCAATTGCGAACAATGGGTAGAACATGCTAGCTAAGAAAATCTTTTCGTTTGTAGTCATTTTAGGCCTTCCAAATCGCAAACTTATCGGATAGTTTTCTTTATTTTCCAACACTTGCATTGCATCTCTACCATCATCCAGTTGTCCACCTGTTACAGGTATTCCATTAATTGCGTACAGTATGTGACCAACTGAAAATATATTTAATTAATTAACATGCTAAAGTAACTATAGTTAATTAGTTAACATTACCATTGATTCCATCCCTTTGACCAAATTCTACTATTATTTTCTTGTTTTCATTCGCAAGTTTAATGTCCAAAGGATAGGAAAACGTCTTCTCCGTTTCTATTTTTGGAACGTTATGGTCGTGATTGAAAATCAGACCACCTGATTTTGAGACAATATACACCCCGTAGATAACCATGTCTAATTTAACAATTGAATGTTATTTACTATCAGATACTACTGACATATTTGACAATCTGTCAAATAGTTGAGGTTATGTTCAATTAAGTTAAGTTACAGTTTTGAATGAAAAGAAAATTATTGTGCGCATAAGTTTAAAAAGAGCAGAATTTTTATTTAATTACATTTAAGTATCACTTCAAGAATGCTTTTCTGTGAGTATAACGTATTTTGATCATTCGTTTTTCGAGTTCTTATAATATAAAATAATTTGAATTTGACTAAAGTTTGAAATTTTAAAACTATTATTTTCAATTGTTGTATGGTAACACAAATAGTTTTGTGTCCAACCATTATTATTATAATTGTTATTATTAATATAGTGTATTAACGAACTAGAGACATCCAAGGCGTCTCTTAGACGCATTATTATATAACTGTGGCAATCGCAAGCCCGACAACCGAAAGACCGTCTATTGAAATCCCGACTATATCGAAAATAACATTTTTAAATTGTACCGGAGCGTAGTGACTTTTAAATTGTTATTAATAATAAATAATAACAATTAATAATCTAATTGTATTTGAGATTATTTCATAATGTTAAGGTTTATTATGAATAATTCAACAAAATCAAATAAATTAATAATAATTTATTGTTATTAATAATAAAAGTGTAGCACAAGGTGGCTACGCTCCGAAATAATTTAAAAATGTTATTGTAAAAATTTTCGATATAGTCGGGATTTTGATATAGTCGAGATTATGGTTGTCAAGATTTTGATATAATCGGGATTTCGATACACTCGGGATTTCGAACGTCTGTATTTCGATACATTCTCAGTAAAAGATTTAAAGACTATTGAAGTGTCAGTAAAACATATAAAGACTAATAAAGTCTCAGCAGAACCTTTGAGGACAAGCATAGCCTCAGTAAAACCTCAATATAATGAGCATAATCTCATAAAAACCTAAGACGAGCATAGTTTCAGCAGAAGACCAAGTAACGAATAAAGTTATGTAAAACCAATTGAATTATTTAATTCCCACAACTGAGACTCCTCAACCACAACAGCAGACAATATTCCACTGTGTCCAGAATTCCATCCCTTTATGATTTTGGGTTTTTATGAACGACAACATAACAGGTATCTAATTTTTTACTTGTAACTAATCGAGTTCGTTGACATGTAATAAGTTATAGTGTTTAGATTTGTTGAAAATCATTTATATACTAAAATAAATTAAGTTAGAAAAAGGAATTTTTGTATAAAACTGTGACAGTTATCTTTTGTAATCGTTTATTTAAACACAAAATTTAATTTTATGAATGTAAATATGGTTAATGTAATAAACATATACAAAAAAAAAGAAATTATAGTGAATAGGTTATAGCTAAAATAGCAAAAAGAAAAGAATATCCAATGAAGGATAATCTATCTATAGCAGCAGCAAACATAACCCAGTCTTGCTGCATTGGTGCTTGCGATCCACTTCCAATCATCTGGTGATCGTCATTCGTGTTGTTTTCTTCGGCATCTGCAGCTTGATTGTCCCGCATCTCCTCAGAAGTTACGCGATGATTTAATTTTGACTGTAACATAAAATCAAAGCTTACCTCTTCTATTCACACACCATCATAAGTAATTCGTTACCTGTGAAATGTAGTTTCCTAAGAACAACCATTTACCTAAACAACCTATCAATGGTTGTTTCAAAGCCCAAGGGAGGCCATAACTATGCCTTGTTCTGGATATCCAAATAACGGCTATAGAACCCATTAGACTAAAGCATACTACGTACAGGCTAGTGCTAAAAAATAATACTGAAAATGAGACAATTTAGTAACATATTTACTGTATCGCTGTATTTTGAAACCTTACCTACTAATGGCGTGTGTGTTCCCATAGCAGGTAATTTTTGTGTAAAGTATAACAAGAACATGGTAATTATGATGGCGGTGCAGCTTTGCAGAATAATTTTTTCACCGGCATTCGGTGGTAGCCAAAATGACATCAAAATCAAGAATATTATAGCTGTAAGGTAAAAAGAGAAAAAAGTATATAGCCTCCGTGGCGCAATTGGTTAGCGCGTTCGGCTGTTAACCGAAAGGTTGGTGGTTCGAGTCCACCCGGGGGCGTCTCTTTTATATAATTCCAATTAAAATTATAGTAATAAAAGTGTCTATCAACCAAATTGTTGGTTGATTATATAAATTAAATTATTTATACTTACCGAAAGCTGGTGTAATGATGATAGCTTGATACGATGGTGAAATTCTTGCTAACTCCAATGTGACTGTAACATCTGGATATAGCTCAGTACAACATTCATATTTCTTCACATTCCTTTGAAGTTCTGAACGTAATAATTTCCATTCAGAGTTATTAATTAACATTTCGTTCTGTAATAAATGATTTACAATTAATCATCGACTTTTTGATGATCAATAGAAACATATTGTGAACTTGATAATTATCAGTTCAAACGAAGTTCGTTAACCGAAATTTGATTTAAAAAGTAGAATTAAAAATTTCTATTATTGGAAACAACAAAATGTAGCAATACTTACATCCAGGACAGTTTTATTTTCATATAGTTCTAAATCAACTTGCAGTCCGTTATAAGTCCATGATCCAAAGATCAAGTTGCAAGTCTGTGTGTCGAAAGGCCAATATCTCAAGTTCATTTCACAAAGAACGACGATCTGGACCGGAGGAACCAAGAGTATATGACCATTGCTATAGACCAAAGCATGAGCATTTCCATAATGATTGATAGCAGTTGAAGGAGCTCTGTAAAAATAAACAAACAGTGTAATATTTTATTCCATATTGATTACAGTTACAATTAATTTACCCATTGTATACGAATAGATCTGGTTGCCAAATTTCGTGATCGGCCAAATGCAAGACTTCCAAGTTGCCATAATCGCTGGCATTCCACTTGAGTTTATCATCATTCCATGACTAAAACGTATTAGTAGATTTTACTTGTATTTTTTTTTAAATTATTATTGTTATTCACTTACAAGTTTCATCCAAGCATGTACGGTCAAAGTGGACTTAAGTTCGTTGAAATCGATATGTCGTATAGCAACGCCAAATTGCACGGTGGTGACATTGAAATGCTGCGCGGGTCTTGCGAACTTATCGTAGTTCAGTAGAAGATTCTGCCTTAACTCATCTGTAAATGTTGCTCTCCACAAAGGCCTTGGACCTATCTCTATGGAATTTGATATAACATAATCAAAGTGTGGGTGTGATATTTATACATGTTTATAGTAGATAATAATGTATAAAAATAACACATGCTGTTGATTTCTTTTTAAATGCTCTTTCGTTAACAATAACCAGTAAAATATTTAATAAAAATCTATGTTATTTAAAAGTTGTTGGAGAATTAATAAAAGAATGCGCCCCCGGGTGGACTCGAACCACCAACCTTTCGGTTAACAGCCGAACGCGCTAACCAATTGCGCCACGGAGGCTGTGAAATCTCAACTTTTTATACATTTTTTTCTTCAGCCACCTTAGATCAAGGGTTTTCAACCATTTGCTTGCCGATTTATTTACCAAGAAACTATTATAAATATTATAATCTATAAACTTGCTTAAAAAATAGAACGATTTTAGAATGTGCTCTAACTGGAATTAATCAAGTTGCGGCCTACGTATCTTTTACTTTAATTTATAACGTTTCTATTTTTGATTCAGAATTCCAATTCCCTAACAACTTGGGCCCTTAATACTGTACTTGAGTTAGACCTAGATCTAAGGTAAAAAAAAGTATGTTGATCACTGCGTAACCATAAAAAATTGTTCCACCGTGACAATGCTTTCACATTGCCGTGACCAGGATTCGAACCTGGGTTACTACGGCCACAACGTAGGGTCCTAACCACTAGACGATCACGGCTACCAGAACATATAAATTTTGTTAAAAAATATCATATATTAATAAATTGTTGGTAATTCAAGAATGTATACAATTGGTTTCATTATTTATATACATTTATGTTTGTAACGGCATTTTTTTTTAAATAATGACTTTCGAATGTCACTGTAAGATTACAGTTATATTATGATTATTCCATGATAAAGCCACACTTTCATTGAAAGTTTATAAACTAATATTATTTTTGTAACTAAATTATTAACATACTTGTAAATCTGCTTATAAAATCTGTTTGAAATTGCGCATATATATATTAATTATATTAGAAAAGGTCAAATTTTGTTTTTTAGACAAGAGCCTCCGTGGCGCAATTGGTTAGCGCGTTCGGCTGTTAACCGAAAGGTTGGTGGTTCGAGTCCACCCGGGGGCGTTTCTTTTGCATTTCTGAATATTTTTTTCACTTAAAACTATTATGGATAATAATAATAACTTACTCGTAGTTGTAAATCCAGCAATGATGTGCGTGAAGCAAAGTAAGGCAACGGCGAGAAGAATTTTCATCGCCATCATCCTGGCATATTCAGTAAGCAACTGAGTGTGATCCGCAGCTTGCTGCTACGAAATCTCTTGATTTGATAAGTATTTCCCGTCATTTGCATTTGTTTGTCCAGCCACTTGCTTTCATTGTCCACATTACGCCTAAACGGTTACATTCGGTAAGAGAATAATCGAACCGCGACCTACAAAAGAGCTTCAACAAAAGAGGCGAATTTGGTGACCGCAGATTAAACTATATTCAATTGGTTCTAATTTTCATGTAGGCCGCAACTGTTGCTAACTATAGATTTAAAATGTAATCGCACCACTTTTGTACTTTAACACGCACAAATTATATTCACAATTACTAAATTTGTTATTCAAATTATACTATTTAATATACTTTATTTGTATCGAGAATACATTATGACATCATCAGCAAATTTAATATTTAAAATTTTGCAGTCTATTTCAATTTAATCGTAACGAAACTACACAAAATGTATCAGATAATTTTTAGAAAAAAAATAACAAACTTGTCGTGTAAAAATGTCTAAACTTTTGTCTGGCAAAAAATATCTGAAAAAGAATAACTTATATATAAATTGAATAACACAATTGTATTGTTTTGGAAATATTTATTGTTAAATTAAATATACAGGATAACTGACCCATTGTTTTCCATGGGAGTATTTTATTAACAAATCAAATTTTAACATTGATATCTACTTAACTTACATATATATATATATATTACTTAATAATCTAATATCTTCATGCGGGCTTACATAAAAGATACAAAGAATTGTTTCAAGTTAAACTATTTACATCTCTTATAGATTTTGAAACAAAATCGGTAAACTAGCACCACTGGCCTTAAATCCCGAAAGATTTACAATTATAATAAAAAATAAAATGTAAACAAATAATGAATCGAAAGCATTGCACTATTTACAAATATAAAAACTGAATATAAAAAGAATGGGTAATATTTATTGAAAAATTTCATTTTTGTTGGAAGAGTTATTTGTTAATGATCATACTAAAAGGGTTTTTTTTAATAATTTACTATCTGAAAGAAACGATGGGATTGTTTCACATGCATTAACTTAACTCGTAATAATTGTGTAATACTAATTGAAAGGTGGAGTGCGTGGGTCGAATCCACCCGGTGAGTAGGGCCAATAAGCAGGGGATGGGAACAGGGCGCTTTGTGGATGTTGAGCACCGGGGGGCAAAGATAATGCCGGCAATTTGACCGATGCTCCGGCGGCCGACGTCGTTGGATAAAGCGCCGTTCCCAGCTCGCTCTGATGCGTCTGGTACTTGTGATAAGATGGTAACATTTCACCTTGACCCTGGGCCTGTGCTTGACACGCAGCCATCAAACCATGGAAGTCGAACTTGTATGCATATCGCTTCCCATGCACTTTTGACATAATATTCTTGTCGTAGTAATATCTGCAAACATAACATCAATTCTATAACATTGAAAAAATATTATTAACCACAATACAATTATATTGTTACATGAAACTATGCAAGAATCGTCACAATCTGGTGTTTTTTCAACTGCGGTTTGTTACATCATATTCAGTAATTTTTATTTGGCTACATTATCAATATGCAACAAAACAAGTAGTAATATCAGTTAACACTGGCCAAATAAACAAGGTTTAAGTTTATGTGGGCGGAAAAATATAAAAACTTAATTTTTCATAGAAACGGTTTATTTTGAAAAGTATTGTAAAAGGTACAAAACCATTACTAAACTTATATGACTTTTGTGATAGAATACTTAATTTGAATAAGTTTTTAAAATCAATTAATGATTCATCACGGTTTATTGATGAATTGAAAGAATGCTTTTGCGTTAACATGATTTAAGAATTGGGATAAATATCCATACAAAATGGCACAAAATGAGATCTCAAAACGCTAAATTTCCTAATTTTCTTAAAATCTCAAATTCTTTGTTTGATATAACAAAATTTAGCGAAACACGGCAATTTTATGTATATTTAAATTTAGATGCGAATTATCAGCAATACTATTATATATTTATGAATGCGAATAATATAAAAAGCTAAGAAAAGTATAATGATATAATAGATATGAATATAATGCATTAAAAACGGAAATGTAGATAAAACTTAATCAAGCAATGCGGTTTTGTACCGAGCCCTGATAATAATAATAGCATGACGTATGCTTATTATATATATATAAGTGTATAGTTAGTTAGATATAAATAAATATGCGATTTGATCTTACCTGAGAGCCCTGGAAAGTTTGTCGTAGTTCATGTTTGGTTTGGACTTGCGCTCGCCCCAACGGCGTGCCACCTCGTCGGGATCCGTGAGCTTAAACTCGCCATTGGTGCCTTCCCACGTTATGCATGCCGCATTGGCCGAATCGCCGAGCAGCTCCAGAAGGAACTGCCACAACTGAATCTGCCCAGAGCCTTGGGCCACCAATCGCGACGACGCTGCGTTCAACAACTGATACGGATCTGGAAATTCGGTAGATCAGGAACCATGCTTCTTCGTTCTAACACTCCTCAATCTTGCGTACTTCTCACAAATACACGCAAATTGAGAACATAAAATATACATCGATAATATAAATTTATTTTAATTCTTATAGATGCATTAATTTTTTCTTGTAAATATACAATATAATTGTAGTGTTGGTAAAATTGTGCATTGCAAATGCAGGATTTAAAATAACATTCATCAATTTTTCTTCTGTAATAAATATAAGATTTTCCTCAATTTTATGTATTTATTTATACAAACAACTTTGGGCAATATCTGACCAATAAACTATTGTTAATAATAAACATAATTTATTTTTCTAATTAACTTAATTTGTTTCATTTTCTGAATCATTTTTATTATTTTTTTAAACAAATATACAAATTTACATCTACATATGTATGCAACAAATTATTAATATTTTGTCATATAAATAAGTTCAAAAACTAACTTTTCAATATTAAATTATTATTTTTAATTATTATTTTATAAATAATTTCATTATTGCGTTTTGTTAGTTCAATTATTATATACCAATAATTGCGTTGATATATAAAAATTGAGATATGGGAGCAATTTGTAAATCTGGTTTTTATTTCCAAATAATTATTAAAAATAGAAGTAAACTAATATCAAAATAATCTACGTAAAAATGAAAATAATTATATACAAAAAATCGTTAGTGAAAAGTCAATAATTAAGTAATAATTAATATGTTTACCAAATAATTGACATAAATTTGTTTTTATGTTCAATTATATTTTTTTAGTCCAAGAAATTATTATTGTCAGATAAATTGAACGAATTTATATAATATTTATTAAAATTGTTGTTTCTATATGTTATTTAATTTTATATAAAGACATTTTATCTAAATCTCTATTTCTAATCATTAGAAATTAGAAAACGATTATTATTTATATTACGTTTAACTTTTCATCATTTTATCAATTTTAGTATGAAATTAAGTCTGGTAATGATTCTAATAACTTTCAATTTCGTATAAATAAATATGTTTATTAATTATTAAGAAACACGAAATGCTGTGACTGTTGTAATGATAATAATGAATAAAGTATACCGTTGTAAATCATATTGTGATGTAATTTGTGATGGATTTGCGTGTTGTGGGATCGGACAGTTGCGAATCTCCTGGCGACTAGTAAGTCTTCAGGAGAACATCCGGGTAGCCTCCACATGGCCACCTCAGTTGGAACACATCTTTTTCAAAAAAATATCCTCCCGTCGTCCACGACACATCTATCTATCTGTCCGCGTGTGACCGCGTTCTAACACCACCACCACCTTCACCGGCAGACAAACCGAAACTCAAACTGCGATAAGGACGACGGGCGTCGCGACGCCCCCAGAACACATTTTTCCTTGCTCCCCTCCACTTGATTGTCTGTCCTTTCTACGACGCCCCTCAATTCACACATGATCTTTGATCCAAATTAAGATGCAATTAAGTTCATGTATCTATTATCACACTTTAATTCAATGCATTTGAAATTATTTCACATATTTATGAAATTAGATTACATAAACTAAAAAAAAACCTATATTCTTTCACATAAAGTACATGCGGAGTATTTTATATTTCGTAGTCACATTTATTATGATCAATTCAGTTCTTGAGGTAAATTTTTGAAATTACATTTTGTTAAAAAAATCAAATGTTTTCTTCAATTAAAGTAGGTTATTTTATGACCATTAAATAAATTAATTTGTTCCAAGATTGAAATGATAAATAATAGCAATATTTATTGCAACAAATTATCGAAATATAAACCGTAAATTGAATTGCAACATTCGTTCCAAAATAAGTGTCCTATTTTAGTTTTTTTTTTCTGATGGATTATTGAAATAATGTAATTAAATAGTAACAAAATAGTTTTTGTAGTGAACAGGTAAAATTTTGTAACAATTGTTAGATTGGTTTTTACCCGCAAACAATTTGATTAAGATTGAGATTAATTATTAATACGACCGTCATTGCAAAAATTCGAACAATTACAGAGAAATTAATTCTGAAATAACCGTGGATAAACTAGACAATGTTTTCAATATATTGCAGAAGTGTTCATGCTTCACGAAGGAAACAACAATCACATGAGCAAGGAATGCGTTTGCATGGAACATTGTTCCCATGTCAGGAAATTGACCTTTCTAATTTGTTAAATGTTACTTATAAGTGTTAATTTTGAAATGTTTTCCATTTTATGTTATAGTTTAGTTGTGAAATTACACGTTATATATCCCTTTAAATGAGTCCCTTTTTTTAAGAAATTGCACACTTATTCTGGAATAAATAACATTCGTATATTGGACACTTATTTTGGAACAGAGGTAGTATTAGTTATTTAGAAAATAATATAGTATAAGAAAGTATATTCGAATAGGAATTCGAGTAATACATTATTACATATTTACACAAATAATTCTGCAGATGTTAAACAATTATCTCTTAAAAATGTTATATAGCGTTGAATGAAAGAAATTACTTCGTTTTCAGAGGTAAAAATACTTTCTTAAAGAAAATTATTGTTTTTTTTTTCTGAACAAATAAAAGTATTTTTAAATAAACAATCAACTTCTATACAAACTAAAATCAAATTTTATATTATGAGTGTAAAGATCGAACAATTACAAAGAAATTAATTCCCGCATGGGACGAAATTACCGACAATGTTTTCAATATATTGCAGAAGTATTCATGCTTCACGAAGGGATTGAAATTGACCTTTTATAATTTATAATTTGTTAAATTTTACTTATAAGTGTTAATTTTCAATTTTTTTTTCCATTTTATGTTATAGTTTAGTTGTGAAAATACACATTATATATCCCTTTTTTAAGAAATTGGACACTTATTTTGCTATCAATTATAAAAAGTTCTGTAATATTTCATATTCGAAAATTGATCCATCAATATTATACATTATTTAGTTATGTTAACATCTACTGTTGCATTGTTGGAGATGAACGAGTTAAATTGGATTCGACTATTTTCTCGTGTAACTTATATAGTTGTAGGTCAGATTAGTTTTAGCATTTTCTATTCATTTGGAAAACTTTAGAGTTTAATTACGCACGGCAATAAATAACTTAGTTCGGGCTAATGCAGGGACCATCCAGAATCCTTTATAAGGATAATCCCAGGCAGCCCGGTTCATCCTCTAATCCGGGCGCCGTCTCATTATACGGCGCGACGGGGCACCGCCGATATTGTTTTCTTGATTACTTACTCCGCGCGCACCTCAGCAAACTTCGCATACGAAGAACTTTAAAACATCTTCCTTTTTAAATACTGTATCCACATAGTAGTAAATACATCGTGCAAAAAATTATTAACTTTAATATCTATTAACATATTCAATACATTCATCTTTGCTCTTTCTCTATTAATCATATATTCTTTATTATTTTTTTTGTTGTATTTCTGGGAAGGTCTTCTTCCGAGTTCGAGTTTTAAACGTGAACTCTTCCTCTCGACACCGCAAACACTTCCCGCCCGTTAATGCCGCAAAATTAATGGACCCGAAATTGTATCACCCTTCGTAACGCAGCCTCTCGTCACATCGCCATTATTATTATATCGTGAATACGAGAGCCTCAGGACAACTAAAAGCCCTACACCGCGGCGATATAATTGAAATATTATACGGAAGCCGGCCCTTAAACGGTTCGCACTTCATCCAACCCCCTATGTTTACATTGTTCGAGCCCTGAACTTGGGGAAACATCAAACAATCACGGACTTTATCGCATCATCTTTATATGCATATCAATAAATATTTTCATACCTAATCTTAACTAAACTATTGTAAATAATATTATATTTTATATAATTATAAGCGTCGAATTGTTTGGGACAAAACGCTCAAAACTTTTCACTTCACCCAATAATTAGTATAAGTATTACATATTTACACAAATTATTCTACAGACGTTAAACAATTATCTCTTAAAACTGTTATATGACGTTGATTAAACGAAATTACTTCGTTTTCAGAGGTAAAAATACTATTACCAGAATGCATTCTTTCTTAAAGAAAATTACTGTTTTTTCCGAACAAATAAAAGTATTTTTAAATTCAATGCAAATTAAAATCAAATTTTATATTATAAGTGTAAAGTCTCTTTCATTTAACAAATATCTATACGGAGTTGTTGCATCACTGATCGCTTAACAATAATATTTCTTCATAAATCAGGATCATGTTAAATCTTTGGTTGTGAACATTTTTCAATAAGAACTTCTGTAATTTCTTTTGATTTCATACAAATAATGATTTTGTATTGTTTTCTGAAACAGATACAGTTAATGTCTTAAAGACTTATGGTCAATAGCCTTTTATAATAGTTAATTATTTATTGTTATCAAATGCTTTATTTCTACATGAGCTATAAATTTTTACTCTTTTGAAGTAAAATAACTTATCTGATTAAAATAAAGTAAATAATATACGTTTCACAGACATTTCGTAGAAGCTTGGAAAGCAAATAGCATAAAACTTGTTCAACAACAAATATAGAACGTGAGCTTTCCTCATGAGTCAGGCCACACCTAGGAATTTTGAAGATTTAATATATATTTTCACTTAATTCTTCCACTTGTTACAAATACTAACAACTAACAAAATATGTTTACATAAAGTAAACATATTGTCATTAAAGTAATAATAAAAATGCAAATTCATTCAATTAAAATGCATATTAACTAAGTGTAGGTGGTATCATGCATAAATACATTATATAATTGAATTTTTACAGTATCAATTTACAAATTGATATCATAAATAATAATAGTTTCTATGTGCTATGGTTGACTGATTTTTTTTTCATTACCGTTGACTCAATTATATGCAATATCGATTGATCCGTAAAATCCAATCAATCTCCGTGTTTACAAAAATTCTAATTAATCTAGCCGGATTTTGTTACACTTTGGTTATTCCAATGCAATGTTTAATTTATAAAACGGATTTTCATAATTCTTATTCCGGTAATCACCTGTTTTTTTTTTAATTTGTGGAAACTTAGTAAATCTCTATTAATTTTTCACTGGAATAAAAGTTTAGTAGAAAACCTATGACTTTCTGTTTTATATTGAAAAAAGAAATAGTTATGTTATTAATAACAATACAATTTAATACAAGATTTAATAATTATACATTGATTGTATAAAAATGAAAGAAGCCAAATTTCTTAGTTACAAGAAATGATAGGGTTGCAGCAATGAAATCTTGAGTTTGGACGCTCTCAATTTAAGAATTTAAAATTTCGCACTTATTATTTCAAAAAACTTAACCCTCCTTCAGCGTCATATCTATAAAACTATTGTATCCAATTCATCATATTTTTCGATTATATGTATGTTGGTTACATCATAATACTTACTGTAGATTTCAAAATTGCAAATAACAATACAATAACAACCATTCAATTATACTTCGACTTGTGGTGGAGAAACTGTGTTATTAATTATGATTTTCTTGGCAACATTTATATATAATTTGCTATCTTCTCACCTTGAAATCAGAACCTTCTTTGCATCTATCTTCATAAAGCGACTTGATTCGACTTGGTGTACAGATATTATTAGTTTGAAATACTCTCACAAGTTCTTTCAAGGTGTTCCACATGGTTCCCTTCTTTTACCTTTTTTCTACAACTGTGTTTATTATACTGCATG